GCCTTCAACGGGTCCCCAAATGCTCTCTTTGGAGAGACTGCAAGGTCCCCCAAAGTCTACCTCCAGCCGCAATTTTGGCGCAAGTCCCACTGCATCAGCTCACGCAGCCTTCTTACCATCCACACTCATGTACTTGCTGGGCACGTTTTGCAATTTCCTGTCTCCATGCCTTTGCGCATGATGTTTCCTCCAGCTGGAAACTCGCTTTTCCTCCACCCTCCCAACCACAGCCTGTTAAAAAAACATATCCTTCCTTCAAAGCTCAGTTTAAACACCATATCCTCCAATTAGTATTCCAGAAACCCCCCTGCCTCTGTGCTCACGTTGTGGGGCTTGGACCTCCACCAGGGCCCTTGGCACGTCCTGCCAAACATGGCAGGCACGCAGAGGCTCATCTTCCCCGCTGTGATGCCGGCTCCCTGCAGGACACCCTGCAGGATGGGTGGCACCTTGCTTCTCTTTACAGACATGCACCATTACTGCGCTCAGTGGTATACAAAATTTTCTAAAATTGAACTATACGTAATGTTTAGCTTGCTCTGAAAATGGGAAATGTGTGAAAATGAATTTCTGGTATAGTAAATATTAATGCAACAGCAACTGGGTTTACAGATAACACAAGCCTAATCTCCAATGGGCTGGGTATTCAAAAATAAAACTAAGAGATGAGGAAAGGTAACTGAGGGTGTGCACCTGTTCCCCTGCTCCCTCCAGAGGTAAAAAATCGTTTGGGAGCACCTCTTTCGGATCAAATGGTCTTCTCACTAACATCAGAGGCACCAGACACGAGTCTGCTGGCTCAACCTATCCAAGCAACAGAGCTTTAAACAAAGGCCAGCCAAGATTCCAGGGACAGGACAACCGCCTAGGTGTCAGACACGGAAAGTCTTTGGTTCAAACAACAAACAGATGTTCTCAGCATGAAAGAAGATGCTTTATGTCACTGTCACCCGAGTAATCATCTCATGATTTTTAAGAAAACTACAATGTATAAAAGTCCAACGAAGTGTTATTTTTTGGAACACCCATGATTTTGTATTACTTATAACATGGACTCCCCTCTTAGTAATTAAGATTCAACTCTATTAGGTCTCTTTTTTCAGGCATTACCTTAGCATCAACGCTCATGTGATTTATCGATCCAAAGATTCCATGGCAGTGCTTAAAGCAAAATGCAGCAGCCCTGTTCCCCATCACCATCTCAGAAGCTCAGCGATGGGGCACTCGCCGTGATTTATACAAATGGGCTAACACCCAAGACTCTGATGTGGTTTAGGCCAAACTGTGCCTTTAAAGAGAAGAGGTATACAGCCAAGGGGAACCTGAGATGCTGAGTGAAAACTCTTTACCATATTTTACTACTCATTACACACCTCATAAGCATACTGAGGGAAGCAAGCAGTTCTAGAGAGAGGGAAAGTGAGGAGAAAGGTAAACCACAGGACATTCGCACAACCATTATTACACTGAATTATCCGACTTGCAGTTATTCTCTTGGGTACCATGAGGCTAACATGTAACACCCATTCAACTAAACCTCTATAAACAGTTGGTTTTCCACAATCACAGCCACTATTCCCACTGTAGTGGGCAGCAGTGTACAGAGAAAAGCCAGATTTAGCTCCTGAGTAATAAACACCAGAAGCCAAAAGAGCCAGGAAAGCTGTCCCTGTCCACGCCCACCAGGAAGCGCCGTCTGCATAACGGCACAGAAGGGCCTGGTAAGGATGGAAGCTCAAAGCTTCAAGACAGAGGAAATACATCCTTTAAACTAGGCAGCGCTCTCCACCTCCTCTCAGTTTTTCAATTAGAGGGTTTTTCTGTAAGACAGATCAGTAAAAAGCAAGTAATTTCTTTTTATATAGGTTCAATGTTGATAAGCAGAAAATAACTTTTTTTCATAGCATTTAGCTACTTTATGTAGTCTTTGGGGCAGATCAGAACAACCGTTTTGAAGGGGTTTTATGTACTCCTTATAGACATTATCTTGTTTAAATTCTCAAAACAATTCTAAGAGGTGGAAGGATCACCCCATTTTACCGAAACAGACATTACAGGACAGAGAGGGTGAATAATGTGCTGGAGGCCCCACAGAGAAGGCAAGAACCACGACTTTGCTCTCAGGCACAGCGACAGCCAAAGATGTGCAAACACTTTTTAAAGATTGTAACACCTATAAAATTCTCATTCAAAGAAACATCACTTGAGAGAAAATAATTTACCAGGTCTTGGCAGGCTCTGACCTGAGCTTCCCAATGAACAGCTCAGAGCAGACTGCCCAGTTGAGAGATCACCAGACACCACAGTTACCGGTGAGACCAAGAATAGAACACAGGGCTGCTGACCCTGAGCCCATGCCCAATTAGGCATGTTCTTTTGGATGCTGACACCCTTCTGAAGTTTCAAGCCATTTGAGAATAGCAAAGAAATGAGTTAATAACTCTGGTAAACAGAAGAGAAGGTGGAGTATCTAGACTAGAGATATCTGCTGTGTATATAAAGCATGACCATATGAAGATTTCTACCAAGGAAGTTTTGAACCAAGAACACTGGTATCTGCAAATTTTCTCATCTTCTGCAGCAAAAATGAAAAATAACCTTCACCCTCCCTCCCCTAGGAGCTGTGAATGATTAGCTTGGCCATGCTGATAACTAAGGAAAATGTAAGATGACTGCCTCCCCCAGCCGCCTAGAGCACTTACTTAGATTTACCCTGCTACCAACCTCCTCCAATTCCATGCAAAAGACAGCAGGACACTAGGACAGTTGGCCAATGTCGGCCCTAATAAACTTTCCAGTGCCGCAAACAACTCTCCCATCAGCTCTAATGACTGCGCCCTGAGGAAGACGTGCCCTGGGAAACAGGGATGGCAGAGAAGTGATGGGAAAGAGTCTTGGGAAAGAGGTGCCTGAAAAAGACCAGAGAACCTGCTCAAAAGGTTGGTGTAATGAGAGCTTCTCTGTGGGGAAGGAAAGGCTGCTTACTGAGCCAGACGTCATCAGTAAGTATGAGGGACAACCAAGAGTAAGAAGATAAACAGATTAGAAGACCCTTACCAAGGTTAATTCAGATCGGTTTCCACAAGGCAGATAAAGTGCAAACTGTCTGGTATTTCCAAATGTTAGAGACTAGATTTGAGATTCAATGCTTAGTATCTCTATTAAGTTTATTTTTGAAAACAGAAAGATAAAATAATTATCGAGGGATGTGGTGTATCAAATTCTCCATGGTTCACAACTTTCAGCAGAGCACAGGGAGAGAAAACTTGTGTTGAGAGGTTATAATCTGGCCCATCGTATCAGCTCACTGATCTTTCTCATTTTCACTCCAATTTGGCTAAACCAAAATTCCTACACTTGGGTAAAGGCTTTTTTGTTTTTACTTCAAATAACTGAAATCTTCAGAAAACTTAAAGGTATTTCTTTCATTGTTCCATATTAAATACCTCACCCCAAACTGTTCTGGAAAAAAACAAAAAATAAACTAATTATATATATATAGATTGATTACATAATATATTTTAGTTTAATGTCTACAAACAGCTTTTTGTTTAACCATTCTCAAAATGACCCAACTCAGCATATTTAGATATGTAATAAATATCGAAAGCTTAATTGGATTATGATTGATTAATGCAAGACACCAATTTAAATCTCAGAAACCTTCCTTCCTAATTTGAGGCCTTACTATTTATAAGATAGGGTACAGAAAAAGTGTCCAGAAACAATTCAATTAGGGGAAAAAAAACTAAATAAAAGAACCTAAACTGAATAAGAGGAAGTCAATAAATAACACCTTATTAGAAAATCAAATACCAAACCAACCCACCTGCTTTTATAATGGATATTTTTCTACCACCTC